CCATCGAGTGAGACCGCGGCCCCGAACACCTATGATCCTGGAACGCTCAGTTGGCGTGGTCATTTCTTCACTGGAGCGACGTCCGCTGGGCTGGGTCCCCAACCTTTAATCACACTGCTTGGGATCCATTTGGGGCCATCAGCTTCGTTGTTAACGCAAGTCCGGACGGCGCCACGGTTCGCTCCCTAACATGTTTAGAGAGATAGAGCAGAGACACCGCTGAGTTTTAGGCATGTGCCCTCGCCGTTGTTTTATTAAAGTGTAACAAATGAGCTGTTATCATTCACGAGGGTCCCTAACCCACTATATGTGTACCCCAAAGGAACAAATCAGCGATTTATGCCAGGCAAGTCTGCGACAATGCGACGATGAGAGTCCGATGTCTATCTAGTGCAGACGAGGGTCGCGCCCTGCAATCTCCTTGACTAGCCAATTGTGAGAGAGAAGCGCCGTAGCGATTGTTTATGTGTCTCTGTTTGGGACGCTCTCACTCACATGCGCATCGCCAGGTACGAGGTACAGAGATTTACGGTTTCTACTGTTCGCGCAGCCTGTTGTCCTGCGATCCACCTCCACCGTGTGCTGTCCATCAATAGAAATTCATAAAATCCTATGAAAGCATCCCTAGGATCTCTTGCATCGAGGAACTCTGTGCGCGACTTGTTCTCTTTTTATTCTTCTATAATGAGAATATACAACTGTTTGAGAGGCGTGTTGCTTGTGTGCCATGTGTTATCCTCGTCGCTGCACTGTCAGCCATCACTACTCTATCGCGTAATCAATATATTGTGCCGGAACTTTAAGGGACATCATTTATTGTAGCAGTGTTTTCCCATGGACCGGATGCTGGGCGACACCTTGGAGTTGTTATTTGTTTTTAGCCTTACAGTAACATGTAGCTAATAGTATATCGTGTATGTGAATATAAGGAGAATGAGGCGTGGAGTTACATACTAAACACGACGTCTCCAACTCTCACTCATCGACGCTGCATTACGACTATTATTACGTGTTTAATGACCAACAAACATCCGAAGAATTGTATAATAAAATATCATAAGAGATGCGCCATGGTTACGTCATCAGAGGACTACAGAAGAAAACCCGCCCCCGTCGACGTCAGCCAATGGAAGGAGACTAAATACGAGGGGGAACATATACATACGAGAAGCTTCCTGGTCTACTTTTGACCAACTCTTGGTCTTCAAACAAAGAAACAGGACCGTTGTCATTTGTAAAAAAAAAAAAAAATCTCTCTTCTTACCTGCAGCCATTCCCGATGTCCCAAATCTCTATTCGCCCATCAAAGGAGGTTGTGGCAAGACGTCCGTCCAATAAAAAGACACAGCTGGAGATGCCGTCACAGCTGCTCACCAGCGATTTCACTTCCTGTTCAAAGCCAGGAGAGAGAGTTCACATTAGATGTTAAAGTAAGATGCATGAAAACTGAACAGTATTTTTTGTCAGACATTCAAACAAGATTTCTCCTGGAGTGTCTATTTTCTGTTTTACATATTAGCATGTGCATAAAATAACAAGAAACAAGGAGAGTGTCACTCTGACTACAGTATGTCAGGATAAAAGGGAAGAACAGGTCGTGTTTAGGAGACCTGATACTAACCTTCTGCCTTTACACATGGTACCTATAGTACATGCAGTCAGATTTTCTGATTTCCTGTGTGCATTTAAATATACTGAATGTTAACTGAAAATGAATAATTTCTTTTAGGTTTTCTACTCATTTGCCAATACGAAACAATAAATACGAATCATCCAGTCAAAAATGGGCCTCGTGATAATGCATTGACACATTAAAGGGAGGCAAAAACACAACCTTTCAACTGGAAAATGGGTCTGTACCTGTCCGGTCTGAGTGTTGATGAAATGCAGCGTTCCCTTTCCAGTGCCAACCACCATCAGCTCTGCGTCCGGGCTCACCACCACACAGGTGGGTTCAGAGGAGAAGGTCGACACCAGCTCACTGCGAAGAAACACAGCAGACCATCAACACATTACTACACATAAATATTGAATCAAATACAAGGTCAAAAAGACAAAAAATAGAAGATAGACGAAGATGAATAAAACCAGTCGAATTAAACAGATTTACGAAAAACCGCACCGGCATATATTGAATTAAGGGAACTATCCTAAAGCACTTTTTTCTAACCACTTTGCCCACTGGACTTTAACACCCCACACACACTCAGACACTCAAATCCAGCACCAGACACTTTTTACACTGCTATGGACAATCTTGCACTAATGTACATTCTCAAAGATATTGAAGTGACTGGTATTTTGTATATATTGATTGTTGTGCTTTTATCTTAATGTGTGCATATGTATAAATGTGTCTGTTGATTGTGTATATATAGGATATACATATTTTATACATATTTGTATACATATTGTATTTTTGTATTCGGGATTACGGTATTTCGATCCCTCTGTCTGTAAACACAAACTGAAAGATTGACAATAAAGTTGACTTTGAAAAAAAAATAAAAAATACAACCTGCTTACCTGGTCTCGTGATGAATCATACGGTCGTTGTTTTGCCACTCAACTGCCCGCGCTCCTCCTTTTCCCATCAGACCTTGTGCCCAGGTGTGAGCGGAGCTGTTTGAAGGCTCGTTGAGGGCCTGCTGAACGAACAGAGCCGGCCAGGAGGAGAGGAGGCGGCCGTGACGCTGCAGGAAACTCCGGCAGTCCTGCAGACGACCCTCATAGTTTACTGAGAGCACAAAGAGAAACGTGTAAGAAGAACTCATAAATAACACCTGGCAGGAATTTAAAGGTCCCCTATCATACTGTTTTTCATCAATATATTATAGGCCTCAGATATATACAAACATGTCTCTGAAGTGTTTGACTCCAAACACCAAACAGATCATTGCAGCATTACCCATAATCCCCTCTGTTTCAGCCCTGTTTCCAAAGTGCTACAAGTTACAAAGAACTCAATGGTGCTCTAGGAGTAGATTCAGGTGATAAGGTGGGGGGGTTACCTTGGTTGGTGATTGGATAATGGTTACACAAGCCAAAACATCGTTATGACATCATAAAGTGGCCAAAATCTGATCAGCTCATTTTCAGGCAGGTTTTTATAGAAATGGATCAGGACGAAAAGAGAGAGAATCTTTGTTCCTGAAACTTTTAGAGTCTCTTTACACATGTTGATGTAGAAGAGACATGAAGAAGTGGATTTTGCATAATAGGTGACCTTTAAGATTAATGTATTTGCCAGCACTTACATGAGGGTGCAGACTTGTTCTTGTCATCTGCAGGAAAGGAAATATTTCACAGGATGCAGGCATTAGGATTTTTTGTAAAGCTATCTTTTAAAAAGCTGAGGTTTGCTGAGTAAACCTGCCCATGCAACTATTTCAGATACATTTCACACAATTGAAGGACAACCACCAGACTCAGGGACAGTTGGAGCTCTGTAAAGCGCCCCGATAAACATTCCTGTTGTCATCTTGCAATATGCTAATTTATATAAATAGTTATCACCGCAATAAACCGTATTTAATTCAGTCTTAATTTACATTATTTCATTTCATATTCTGTTCTTGTACATATCCCATATTCTATTGACATGTAGACTTTTT